ATATCTCTTTTTATCACTCCATAAATCAGAAAATACTGTCAACAGCCCTAAAATATCCATTTTCGCCATGTTTTTAGGTATACAATGTTGTATAATTCAGGCTATGAATTATATATGAACAAACCCTTCTGTAAAAGCCTTCATAATATTGATAGGAATATAACTGGAAGGTTCGGTGTATGTACGTGCTACTGAAGTTGACATTTCGAACTCAGAGTAGGAGAAAAAACTCATTTTGAGAAAACGACCTTTAAAGATTGCAGTGAGGCGCTAGCTAAACCCTCCTGTTCTTTGGATGACAGCTTGCGCATCGACGCACTCCGTGAAGGTATTTCATGTTCAGGGTCATTTTTTTTTGTATAACCTTGCTTCGTGCAAGTGACAATTGTTGTCGTCTTCTCTGTGAACGTTTTTTTCGCCGTTCTTTTGGCATTTTGAGATTTTTATAGCGGAAAGCTAACCCGGAAGTGTTTTAGCACACCACGTGACGCATCTGAACGAATCACGTTGTCATAAATTGACACCAGCCAATGAGATTTCGTTTCTTGGTTTAAGACCCCTTTGTGCTTTCACGATTGGTTGCTGATACAAAGGAAATTACCATATTTGGATCCGATGAGATTGTGCAGGAGAGACACAGCTTTCCAGCGATACCTCTGTTGACATGGTGCACACAGCGGTCGCGGTACTTTATGTTACGTTAGAATGCTAACTTTTGGTGAATTTAGGAGAAATCTACAGACGCAAATAGACAAACTATAGTCAAATAAACACTTAAATGTGTATTTTGTACGTTTTCCTTCCAAAAGCCTGAAAGAAAACATGTTATGGAATCAAAATAGCTCAAAATTGACCAGTACTTGAAAAACGATGTTTTTGCCTGCCGTGTCTCGCCTTAAAGGTCACCTATTATGCAAAATTAACTTGTTCATGTCTTTTATACATAATCACGTGTCCCTTCTGTGTAAAGACATTCTGAAAGTTTGAAGAAAAAAGATTCTCTTACTTTTTGTCCTGATCCATTTATATAAAACCTGTCTGAAAATGAGCTGATCAGATTTTTGGCCACTTTATGATGTCATAACGATTTTTAGGCTTGTGTAACCATTAGCCAATAACCAACCAAGGTAACCCCCCCCCACCTTATCACCTGAATCTCCTCCTAGAGCACCATTGTGTCGCAGCATCGCAGAGGGGCGTGGGGAGTGGCTCCTTATTTTCATCTAAAGTAAAAGATACAGAATCAGCACTTTTGAAACAGGGCTGAAACAGAGGGGTTTATGGGATGCTGAAATGCATTATCTGTTTGGTATTTCGAGCCAAACACTTCAGAGACATGTTTTGTATATATCTGAGACCTATACTATATTGATGAAAAACAGTATAATAGGGGACCTTTAAGCATAAAGTAAATGAAGTTACTGACCCCTTCTGTCCCTCTGTAGTTCTCCCAGCAGGAGGAACGACGGCAGAAGGCAGAGAGGCTGAATCAGCAGCAGAAACACGATAACCAGATGAGAGAGATGATTGGCCAGTGTGAGAGCAACATCCGAGAGCTGCAGCAGCTTCAGGTGAATGAAACGCTTATCTGTTACACTGCACATCGATTGGTTTGTGTGAGGAACCGGTTTATCGTATCCATGTTTTTGTCCAGTCTATAGAATGTGCTGAACTTAAAAAAAACACAATAAATGGGCTGCAGTTGTTAACAAGAGTTTGTTTTGTGCTTCAGAATGAAAAATGTCACCTGTTGATTGAGAACGAGACTCAAAGGCTCAAGCAGCTGGATGAACAGCACAACCAGCTGATGAAAGACTGGAGGGATCAGCTGAAGCCCAGGAAGAAGGTACATGTGTTTTCTGTCACAATGTTGTAATAGTTTATATGAATGGCTCTTAAACACAAAACTATACTCATTATAGTTATGTTTTACAAAGAACATATACAAAATAATTCACATCGCACATGTACTCGAGTTAAGCAACCACTATGACAGACTCATCATGACCACTTGAGTCTGAAAAAACTCTGATTGTTGTGAAACATACAGGATGTTTAAATAAGGATGTGGCACTGAGAGATAGGACAGTAGAGGCTTATCAAAGTGAAGCTGTCCTTGCTGAGGTTTAGTATTAAAATCAATATTTATTAGGAAGTTTTATATACAAATATTTATCTAAAACACAGCTGATAACTAAATGGCTAAGTAGTAAAGCAAGTGTTGACTTGGACGATAAGATCGACACCTCCTACCTGCACATGTAGTAAGGAACTATAGCGTTGGCATAAAGCCTAATAGCAGTGGAAAACGGTTAGTTTTTAAAGTCAAATAATCCATGTTTTTGTTGTTCAATTTTTACACAAACGAATAAAACAACAACTTGTGGTTTAACATGCTGTGACCATTTTTTTGCATTCAAATGCCAATGGCATTCCTGGAGTCTTGTCTTTATGCTTAAATAACATAAAGCTCAGATATGAGAGTGGTATCAATAAGCTTTCCTCTTGGCAAGATAGAGAACAAAGTATATTATCATTAGGGTCAAACTATTCATTTACTTTGATTTGAACTTGGATTGGAGCATAAAAGACGACAGGCGCATAGGAGTGTTGCTCCTGTAAGGCATTAGACAAATGTGAATAAAGGTTTAATCCCTCAATGTAAAAGATGATCTAATTCATATTTTGCTTTTCCTCTAATACTTTAGGCCCTTGAAGAGGAGCTCGGCATTAAAAAAAGGGAGCAGGAGGCTTTCTTCAAGATGGGTGAGAGTTCTGATTGCCCAAACCCAAGTTCACCACATAAACTCTCCAAGTTTGTGCCTTACCAAGACTCTTCCACCACTTAAAAAAACGTTGACGTTGCACAATATCTCCTGGCCACCAAAAACACCCATTCAACCACAGGCGTTTCAATGGCCTGCTGCCTTAGTTTGAATTTGCCTTGTCTGTAACGCATACCCATCCCTTCATTAGGTTATTTTAATGTTTTAGTGAGTTTTTATGTTTTAAGTAATGTTTAAAGTTTATTTTTCTGTCTTTAAAAAAGGGTTGTTGTATTTAATGGGGGTAAAACTCGTTGTGTGCTCCACATGGATCATTGCATAGCATCTGCTTTCATACAGCGTTTGGATTTATTTTCTTTTGTCAAACTAATAATCAGTAAATAAGCAAAAGTAGTATTTGGTTGGGAGGATTAGTTTTTTTCTTAAGGAAGGAAGACCGTTTGTCTTTTATGAAAGCTGGTGAGCCAGTACATAAGCACTTTTTGTTAACTATTGCCTTCTTCCAAATATCATGACCAAAAATGCACCCAAATGTACTACTACTTACTAGTAAGTCAAATTTACTGACCTATTTTTTTACTTTTTCTGTATGGCTTTGCTCATTGACCTGTAAATCCATAAGGCAGCCGATGTCATACAGCAGCTAGAGTCTGCTTTTATTTATTTTCAACCTTATCAAGACTAATCACTGTAAATGTTCATTTAATTGTTTTTCTTTTTAAACACCATTGGTATGGAACATGTGCTTAGTGCTTATCATTTTGTATCTTATTTGAAATGGGGGATGAGGCTTAATCCTGATCAAACTTTTAATTTGTTTCTTTTTAATGATTACTAAAGAATGAGGTTTGACCAGAGTAGGGGAAAATACCTTGTGTCTTTCTACTGTTTTTTTTTACTGTAAGTTCAGTCACACTGGATGGGGAAGTGAACTGATGAAGCCAAAGCAAAATACTGTTGTTCAATGAAGGACATTAGATAGGGATTTTAATTTGAGTAAAACAATATGTATTAGGTTTATAATTGTTATACCATGCGCAGTGAATGTACTGCCTGCTAACCAAAGTGCAATATTCCATATCTGTCTTTGCTAAGCTTAAAGAGGTTTATTTTCTATTAAACTTTGCCTTCAATTGCACTGAGAGGGGGAAATATATGAAGAGTTAATCTCCAAAAAATAGGTGTAATAAACCTCTTGAAAGAAAGAGCATTGCTAGGAAATTCTCAATTCTTCATAATCATTACTTTATGGAAGGCAATCATTTATATGTTTCACTTATTTTGGATCATAACTCTTCATATCATGTTGAAGGGAGTGCAACAATTTAGCCTGCTGTTAGATGCGTCTAGATGTTTAATTTTAAACCTAAAGTTTGCAGCTGAGGAAAGTGTTGCATTGTTTAGTGAGAGAAAGTGTTTTTATTTTAAAGCAATTTGACCTAGATATTTACTTTGAACTGGGTCAGCAATCAGGTACAGCTTTATATCTCTCTCCCTCACATTTTCCCAAAAGTATTTAAATTTGTTGTAAAAATGATCTTTTCTGTCATGTTTAATGGCTCCATGTATGCCTTCCTCTCTGTTGCAGTTTATGTGATATTATTTGTATTGAGGGGTTGTGAGTGTGAATGAAACTGTATCAGAAGGAACCACTATTGTAAATAATAACTCTTAATAAAGGCAGATTTTCTAAATAGTGGACTGTTGCATAGGCTTTTTTATGAGTGGCAGCGAACATTGGAAAAAAGTCATAGTATGTCAAACATTTAAGAAATGGATTAATTCAATACAAATTCATAGTATGTCCGAAAATATGAAAAAAATCCATAGTTTAAATTGGTCAAAAAAAGTCATAGTATGTGGAACATTTTGAAAAAAGTGATGGTATAGTTTGTCGACATTTTTGAAAAAAATCATAGTAAAGTATGAAAAAAGTCTTAATCGAAAAAGGTCATATGTCGTAAAATGTCAAAGTTATAGTATGTCGAAAAAAAAAAAGAAGTAATAGTTTAGTTGAAAAATGAAATGGGAGTACTCTCTTGCCGACAAAAGATGGCCATATAAACTCTACAGGGATAATATGAGATGTGGAATGGTGCAACAAGAAAGAATAATCTAACAATGTTTTACTCTGAGTAAAAAATGAAACAACTTTAAGCAGTGACCGTTTTTCTTGGGATATTTGAAATATGAATTCTGAGACAGTAAGACAACTGGATTGAAAAATCTGAAACTTTTATTGACTTAAGCAACATGAGACTTTATGTAATGAAAAGTACATAGCAAAAAAAGTATATATGATTACAATACTGAAATGATGACACCATCAACCCATACCTTTTTCTTACCCCGTTCTGTACCTGCCTTTTGTCCTCATGAAATAACCCCCGACAATAAAATGTTCTGTCTGGGAACCTTCAGCATTTTTCTGTATTAAACATGAACGTAAGGTGACAACATTATAGCGACTAAAAGCGGTGTTACAGCTTGTAGCCTTGTCTGATTGTTTAGCAAACAATTAACTTATTTTTTATGTTCTAATTTTGCTTATTTATTTAGCAAACCTAACAATGTATGTAGACAATCATTTCTCGACAACCTGGTGAGAAATGAGCATCCAGTTCACATAATTCTTTAGGTTACTTTCAACAAAAACGACACTGCTCTTTATACGTCCTCTTATTAGCAAATCCCATAATTCCAACAACTCAATTCCTTCTTGGCTCTTTCTTCCTCTTCCTCAGTACAGAGTAAAATAGATGACAGAATGACCATCAAAGAAAAAGTGACAACAGCTAAGATATGCCTTTCATTTCTGTACAATAAAAAATATTTAGCTATACTGACCATGCTTGATACCAGTCAAGCATTAATGTCAAACATTATTTTTATACAATGGTCATTCTTTGCTGTTATTTTAGCACCAGACTTTGGTTAAAGAAAGACTTTACACTTACAATATTGTAAATCATTGCACAAATCACTGTAGGTCACCAATTTCTTAGGTCAGACATCTGATACAGATTTGCAGATGTGCTCTTTAAGTCCCATTTCACACTTTTTTTGTTGGGTGTAATATAACATGATTGTGGTAAAATACGTTCACACAGAGATTCTTTGAAACGTTTTAGTTTGTTTGCTCTAGCCTCATCTTTACATGGGTGAATATGTGTTACAGTGAGTATAAAAAACATAACTAATAATGTGTGAAATAAAATGCACTGTGGCATTCCTCCCCTTCGTTCAGCGTGTGCAAACCTCAAAATGGTTTTGTGTGAAATGACGGAAAAAGTGCACATCTGTTACAAGTCACTGCAACCACAATTATACAGCCAACAACATAAAGCAATACATTAGCAGAAAACCTTATATGCATGTTTCTAGTATAACAAACAGTATTCTACTCGGCAACAATGTCTGTTTTAGTCATTTCTGATAGCACTGAAAAGCCCAAATGTAGTCGTGGAACTCCCCCAGTGAGTTCATGTGCAATCTTTGTCTCATAGATCTTTTTTGTCTACAGCTGGATTTGAACACCTAGCATTTTCTCCTGTGATGTAAAAGTTTGATATTTTTGTCAAACAACAAGGACTTTGTCTACAGTTGCATACAGTCTAATAAGCACTGAAGCACTTTGCATATAATCTAGAGGCACGATATCATAGAAGGCATGGGTAAAGATACATTATCTGCTTTATTTCTGTGTTAGGATCCCTATTCTAGAGTCTAGCCTAAGTAAAAGCAAGACTGACACAGGCTGGGACTAGAATACTGCAACAAAAGCAAAACACTTCTTACATGTAAAATTGAGATAAAAACCAAAGAACGTAAACATCATAGGAAACAACAAGGTCAAGTGTTATTGCTGGTTCAGTTTGAGTAATGTTTTTTATCAAAATGAAACAAATGTCACTTGAAACAGTTATTTAAAAAAAAAAGTACCTATAAATAAAAAATGCCTATTAGCTACAAAGTAGTGATATTTTGTTTGTTTAATCATGTGGTCATGGATTTGAGAGCACATCGCACTAAGGTTTCTTGCTCAGGTAGTTCGAGGGGATCCAGGTCTCGACTTCCTGTCCTACATTCTTACAGAACCACCAACCGCTGCTGTTTTTCTCCATCACTTCAAACACCGTACCCACCTTGAAGCTGGATGTTTGGTCATCCCCTTCAAAGTCTGCCACCGCTAAATACAGCTCATCCTTACTGGGCTCCATAAGTAACGGTGGAAGCTTGTCCTTGGGGGGGCCGGGCTTCAACTGAGGCTTGGGAGGAACCGGGACTTTATTACATTTGGGCTCTTCTTTATCTTTATTAGGAGGTGGCAGCATAAACCCCTTTGGTTTAGGTGGAGGGGGTCTGCTGAGGCTGGGTGGGGGGCCTTTGGGATGGTCCTGGATTTCTCTTAGAGCAGGTGGAGGCTTGGACTCGGTCGGGCTGGACGGGTCCGTCTTCTTTGGAGGTGGAGGTCTCCTTGGAAGCATATTGGGGGGTCTCTGTGGGGGTTCCTTGTGGGGAGGCACTGCTGGTTTTGCCGGAGGAGGTGAGATCTCCAGGCTGTGACCATTTATGTGTTTTGGGGGGAGTTTTGGCTCGTCGCAGTGCTTACCATTGCTGAGAGTAGGGATACGATGGGGGGGAGAGCTGGGGGGTGCAGAGGGATGGGAACTTTTTTCTGCTGTTGTGGCACCATTCTGAGAGTTTGCCTCTGAGCTGGGATCTGCAGGTTTTGAAGGCCTCAGTTTGCTTCTCAGGTTAGTGATGTCGAGTTTGTTTTCTGCCGGAGGATCTGGCTTGGCAGCTGGAACCGGTTTAGGTCGGATCGATGGCTTCGGTTTCATAAACACTGCGGGGCCGGCTGCATCTGGTTTCTCCTCCTGTGCTTCTACTTTGGGTTTTGGCGGCTGCTTAGGTACGGGTTTCAGATTAAACTTCTTCACCTCCTTGGCAGAGATCTTGTGGCCACATTCAAGACCCATCTCATTCCGGAGGTGAAGTACTTTGCTCTTATCTTCTTTCTTGTTCTCAGGTGGTTTGTCCGGTTTGAAGGGGGCTGCTTTGGGTGGAACCAGCGGCAAGATGACCCCAGGAACTGGGGGTTTTGGAGGCAAAGGTTTGGAAAGATCAGGCCTCGGTTTCTCCGATACCTCCAAATCAAAGCTCTTATTAATGGACTCTCTTCGAGGAGGCAGAGCTGGTTTCTCTTCAGCTGGAGGGGCTGATGGGGCTGGAGGTAAAAGCCCAGCAAGGGTAGGGGGAACCTTGCTGGCACTGGCCTTCCAATCTCTCAGCTTAGGCCGGGCACATGAATCGGGGGCAGTGGTTGGCTCATCTGGTAAAGGCTTGGACCAACTGTCATCTGTGCCTGAAATATTTGAAGAACCACCATTTTCCAGTCTCAGCTTCTCCATCTCATTGGGCAGAGGGGCAAGGAAGTTAGGGCGCACCGCATTGCTGGTCTTCTTGTACTTGTCGATAAAGGTGGCAGGGGCCCAGCCCTCTTTGTCATCAATCTGGATGTACCACCAACCACCATTATTCTTCTCTATCACCTGGTGGGTAAAAAAAGCATTGACTTCATTTCAATATATAAATTAATTAAAACATTTACAAAACCAAATATTTTGGGGGTTAAAAAAAAAAAAAATGTTTAAGTGCTGCACCCACCTCAACTTTGATTCCAGCTTGGAAGCTTATACCATCAGGGATTGTGGTCTGGAAGTCTGCTATGGTGTAGAACTCTTCCTCAACCAGGGGAGCAACCGGTGGCTTGGGGAGGTTTGTGCCACGTGGCTGTGGAATGTGAGAAAGAAGCATAAAAGGTTAACTTTTACTTTCCTATACAATAAAAATGTGTACATCTGAGATTTTAACTGGATCTCTTACAATAGTAAGATCTCTACGTGGAGGAGGTCGGTGTCTTAATCCCACTTCTGTGGAGGAAAAACATATTTAGTCATCAATCATTTGGTCAATAAATAAGGTGTACATTTGCAAAGCAGTTTTATTTGTATTAATTCATATTACACAGGGTTTTTCAGCTTAGAGTACTTGTTATGCTCACTGCAGAAACTGTAAGCTAGAGTTAATCACTACCTTGTCAAATACTTGAATGTTTAACGTACCATAATATTTTTGTATACTTCTAAGATTGTGTGTACGTTTTTTTTCATTACAGACAAACGGCTATACATCATATCGAGTGATGGAGCAGCAAAAAGTATAAAAAGCAAAGGACAATTTATATTATTTGAAGTTCACTTACTGAGTTTGTTCTCAGAAAAAAAGGACAGTCTGTTTTCTTTTTGGCTGTTGTCTTGGTTCTCTTTGGCTGCATTGTTTTGTTGGTTCTGCTTAGAAAGCCCATCTAAGTCATTGGTGCTGGCATGAGCAGCAGCGCCCGCTGTCTGCTTCTGGCCCTGGAGGTCGGTCTTCTTCAGGTAGGAGGCCGGGGCCCAGCCCTCAAGACCCTGATACCTGAGAGGGGGAAAGATGTGGCTTTAGAAACACTGAAACTGGCTGTGTTGACCTTACAGGCTTGAGGTGGTTTGAGGTTAAGTATTTGTTTTTCCTTTATCATTATCTAAGGTCTGATGTCCCATTTCCAGAGCTTTTCACCCATCATTGATTTATTACCTGATCTTCCACCAGCCCTCCAGGTTCTTTTGAATCACCTCGACAATCATGCCTCTCTCCAGGTCGATCTCATCTTGGTCCCTGGCCGAGTACGGGTAAATCACTGTATACTTCTCATCTGCATTCATAAAAAACATAGTTTAGTTAGATATCAGAACTTGAAGTCTGTCTTTCTGTACACAGGTTTACACAAAGCGGAGCAACAATAAATGCAGGATAATGGTATGGGAGACAAGGAACACAGTGGCAGACTCGGATTGCAATGGCTTTAAGCGTTTTAAAGTCTAACTGAGTTTAAAAAATATAAACGTGTTGATATTTGTAGGCAGTGAAATTGTCTGTTTAAAAAGGTTTTAAAATATGTTCTCATACCAAACACTGTTACTATGTAATTTAGGATCAAAGTGCTTCAGATTTACATGAGCTAACTGATTTGAATGAGGCAAGGCTTGAGCAGCATCATGTGGAGAGAGTAGATACACACAAAACACACAAACATCCTCCACAAATATTAAACACAAATAAGACACACTTGCTACTGTACTAGATTTGCAGTCATTACTTCTATTATTTATACTGTTATTATGTATTATAGATATTTTTTGTGGAACTGTGGTTTAATCAGATGTTTACTTCCTGTTAACGCAAACTATATTTTGTTCAATTATCAGAGTGAAATAAACAATCTACTTTACATGCAAGGATTTAATTTGCATGCTCGGATCTGTCATGCAACAAACATGTCATGCATACACATGGACAAACAAACATGCACTCAGTTGAGTATGTGCACACACACATTGAGAATAGGGGGAGAAGAAAGGCGTGCGCTCCACCTTGCCCAAAACCAGTGCCGAATAGATCCCCTAATGTCCTGCGACGACCCATGTGCCTCGGCAGTGACCAGAATCTCCGAGGCACTGACATCCCAGCACAGTAAGTGAGGCAAAATAGGAAGTGAACGTTATACACGCCATCTGAAGGATGTTTCTTTAATCTTAATTGAAAGTATTTTCAGTACTGGCGGGCCTAGTAGAACTGACACTCTTAGTATATATTTTTAAATATTAGTGTCACTTAATCAATCCATGCTTTATGGTATATTTAGTTACCTCTGATTCCCTTTTCCAATCTGTATGTACCAGCATGTTGGTACAACTATTAGACCCTGCTACTGTCAGAGGGTTTTATTGTATAACCTGTTCTTTCAAGAATTAGTTAAGACCTGTGAGGCCATCTTAGCCCCTATCATTGTCTTAGGAGTATCCTTAAACAATACTTATTATTCCTTGAAGACTTGCTGACCTGACACAGACTAGCATAAGGACAACATCATTATACTTTATTGTGCTTTGTACTTGCCCTCATTGCAAATGTATTTGCTTCATATCAGTGAAATAGATGTTGTAAGGATTGACTCAAGGGCTCAGACAGTACAATACAATATATGTCTTAAACAAAGACTATGGTCATTAAACATTACATTTGTTCCCCACATCTACACATTTTGTAACCTTGACTTCTGCTTCTTTTAATATATGGTGTCTTGTGTGTGCCAAAGACGTGGCACTAAAGGTTTTAAAAGGAACGGAAAAACGAAAGAACAAAAAGGTTATTTATTATTGAACTTCTGATAGCTAATTGGTAAGTAAAAGTGTACACATACAGTTGGGTTAGAGAGTTAAATATAGGGTCTCTTTTATCTAAACATCTACTTTAAAGAAAAACAGTATTTGTAACAAACATCACCCGGAAGAAAAAAGTGCGTGTACCTTCTTCCCCTGGAATAGTGAAGTCATCAGGGTCATCCTGTGCCTCAAGACAAGTAGCAGGGACCCAGCCCTGGGCATCATCGGAGCTGATAAACCACCAGCCTAAATGAGAAGAAGGGAAAAAATATTGATATACAAGATAGGTTGATTGATATCTACATTACTAAGGATTTTTGGTAATTCACCATTAAAATGTATGATGGGTTTTTATGTTTTTCCTAATATACTCATTACACAGACGTCACTTTTCCACCCAAATGTTAGACTACTCTCCATAAAGATCAGGGAAAAAATGCAAATGAATACAAATTTCCATCCACTACAATATAGTAGTAGTAGTCGGATGCATCAAGATAAACAGTTGGTGGCGATACAGTGCACAATCTAAACTTACCAGACTCATTTTTTTCAATGACCTCGACCACCTGACCCACATGCAGGCTAACCTCAGAGCTCTCCTGCTTCTCATAGTCTGTGACTGCCACATACTGGTCGAGGAGGAGAGGGTCTGCTGCGGAGGAATCTCCTGTTAACGGGAACCAATTAGAACAGAGGCTGGTTAGCTCTTTTTTCCTTTTCTCTCCTTTGTTTTAGGCTTAGGATGATATCTCAATGTAAAAAAGCCTCCACTCAATTCCCTCTGCTTTTCAGGGGGGCTCTTTGGTCATATTTGTTAATGTGATATTTAATGAATGTCCATTAATTTGGAATCCTATGATTGCATCTGTGCAGCTTTGAGATATTGACCTTTAGAATGTCTTGCATATCACTGACTGAAGGGGATATGACCTTTTTAAAATGTCAGATTTTATACACGCTCTCCAATTTAGGCATGATATTTTCAAACCAGTCAAAATGCATAATAACTACTTTTTGATGATTAACATGAATAATTTCAAGGTCAACATTTCTGCCAAAGCGTTTTAATAAAAAGCTTTAAGTGAGGAGAGGAAGCAGATGTGATTGGAGAAATTGAGTTAGGGAAACCGACAGAAGAATAAAGAGAGTAGGAGAATAGAAGTGAAGGTTATGGATTTAGTGTAGAGGGTTAAGTCAATCATCAACATAGCTTTGACAACTTCCACAAAGAATCAAACTCACACCGCTAAGAACCTCCACCAGTGCACCAACAAAGCCTGGGTAAAATCCAATTTAACACACGAAGACTCAACCAGTAGCACACCTTTACATCACTATGGCTCATTTATCTTGATTCATATCAGAAACCCAGATAGATGACATATAATTACAGAATATGTTGGTTGAAACATTTTGTTTACTCAAGGTACTGATTGACACCTTTTAAAATAATGTGTTTGTAACACACACACACCAACAAAATTCCTTCCTTTATCACTTGTACTGTATATATTTCCAATCAATATGCAATAGATTCTCAATTTTGTCAATCAGAAGTTTAATATTAGTATTGCTAGATGTATTAAAAGCTGAACTGGAGGAACACAGGTTAAGTGAAATGTTATGCAAACAACAACAATTAAAATATGAGGCAAGTTTTTAACTTGAAGATCAACTTGGCTTCCAAAATAACCAAAGTGACCCAAGTAAACTTACACACAATACGTAATACACTAAAGGCTCTTTGGTTTAAACTATTTATATCTAAACCAACCAGTAACAATACTTCTCCCTATAGAGCTCTGCAATGAAGAATTATTGAAAATGACTATCTCTGTACATTTCTCACATGTAAGTGTACAGTTAAAAATGCCATTGTCTTTACTCTTTCCTACCCCTGTCGCATTGCAACATACTTAAATGCATCCAAGAAATGAGCCACCCAGGGTGTGACAATCAAACACTATATACTAAAGTTACTTTACGGAACCATTTCAAGCCCTAAGCCTCTAACCTGCCCAGGCCGGGGGAGGAGGGGGGCCACTAGCAGCCTGCTGGGTCACACACACAGCATGACCAAGTGTTTACTACCTCGGTTTAGGAAAGCAGTCGCTCTCTCCACAATCCCTAATGGAAAGGAAAATGAGTGAGAAAAAAAACTGAAAAGAATGACAAGGAAAATTAAATAAATAAAGAGAAGAGAAAATATAAACGGACAATAAAACAATGGAAAAAGTGATTTCCATAAACAACACCCCAGGAAAACATTTCAGACAATTGAGTAGAAATTGTCCACGTAGCAAGAACGTTTGGGCTGGTGGAATAGATGTCTTTCCTTTTTGCGTGTGTAAAACTATATGACCACTAGATGGAAGTAATGTCAAATTATAGGGTGAATAACAGATTAATTGTAGAAGACATACACTACGTTTTTAAAATAAGACACGGAAGTGGTGTCCTATCAAATCAGCGAAGTTACTACTGAAGTACATGATCCTATTAATCACATTTTTTAAGATAAATTAACAAACCATAGCCAAGGCCACCTAACCCCCTTTTTATTGGAAATACACAAATATAGATGTGTCTTACCTGATTTCTTCTTGCTAATGGGTTCCCTGAAAAAGAAAATACATCATTACATTACTAACAGGTCATATCAAATCAGTTTGTAGACTTTAGGAGATACTAATGAACAACAAATACTATTATAAATATGCATAATAATTCACATCATCTTATGGGTGTCAAAAAAAAAAGGCTTTAATAATTTGTCAGACTTGTTTTACTTTCAGTGTTTTTCCTTTTAATCCACATGGATTAAATAGGACATTACGTATTATTTTTGACTCCAAAGTCGATACAGTAGGTTGTTGTATATATGCATTTACTTCATTATACTACTAATTTTTTTAACCTTTCCTTTTAATTTTCAGTTTAAATCTTTGCATTGAAAATCAGCACATATTGCACTTTCTTTAAACATTTTGAATGGATTGAATTTGATCAGTCGTTGAATTGTTTCATTTGAATTTGTAATGTGTCTTGGTGCCATAGCACAACACTACCCTGACTACAGGGTACAGAACACTATTGTAACCTATATGTAAAAATACACATCTAAAAAGATCTGCCTCTCCCTCCGATGCCGGCCAATGTGAATGAAAAGCCAAGATGAAATTTGATCTCTGAAATGCAGTCTGATGGTAAATTCAATAATCTGCTGTGTCTGGTTTAGACATTAGCCAGATAAATAGACCATCACTCCACTGCAGTAGTCTAGAGCTGATTCAATGTCCAGATGCACTGTGAAGTCAATGGTGGCAAATACTTAGCATGTCCCTTCCTCACTCAGACTCTCCCTCTTTGTCATCTTAATATTCATCTGTAACTTAATGGCCTTCCTTTTTCCATCTCACATCTACCGAGGTTGCGGTCGGATAATCCAAAAATCAGCTCCTAACGTAAAACCCTATCGTCTATTCCTTGACCTCTGAGTGAAACGTCACGGGGTTAAGGGATAGTGGATAGGAGAATTCAAAAGGACTTAGGAGAAGAGACTGCGGTACTTTAGAGAATCCGACTGCACTTTCACTATCCGACATGTTTATGATGCGCCAGCGGACGTCATGAATGTGCGTCTGCTGCTGTGGGGAAACTATGGAAACTACAGTTTTCTATACAGCGGACTACAACATGGATGTTTAATAAGAACGAGGGACTACTGTAAACTCATCTAGAGACTCTGCACCGTGCTCTGATGCTGTTGCTTTATGCTTTATGGACGTGGACAACAGAGAAACATATTCTCCATGACCAAAGTTGGAATTGAAATAAAAAAGGAAAGTGAAACTCATGCTCGTCACCCTCTCCCTCCGGTCCACATTAATACAAATGATCCCAATACGTATGATTGTATGAAAAGATCTTAAAATAAATACAAATGTATTTATTATAAACGTTAGTCCTTAACATCTATCACTGTGTATATCACCATTCAAACATCTTTTAAAAGTTGAACAAACTCCACACAGCTCAGTAAAGACTGAAATGTTGACTTTATTTGATCATTTCAGTAAAAACTAACGTTCATATTTCTCTTTTTGATTATAATACAGATGAACGTTCAAAACAAAGCACTTTGGCAACTTACCACATACGTTTTAAAAAGCTTAATAAGCACCGTAACTTTCATGATATAATTTCTCGGTCATAATCGGTTGTTTCCGTGAACGGCCGACTGTTGTGTGACGGTAAATGCTGCGGCTGCAAGGCATTGTGGGGCAGCATTTTCTCCTCTCCTTTCGTCAAGAGAGGTCCAGTGGTTCCTAAGCTAAAGGAGGTTATAAAGGAAGTTTGAAACCTCCTTTCCTATCATCTAGAGCAGGGGTGTCAAACTCAAGGCCTGGGGGCCAAATCCGGCCCGCCACTTCATTTTATGTGGCCCACAAGAGCTTGCAAATAATATAATACGTTTATTATAAGCAGGGGTGCACATAACTTTTTTGCCCTGGTTCTCAAAGGAGCACTTGGAGATGTTGCTTGGTGCTCATCCTTAAAATGAAATAAACCGTAACTTTTGAGGGGGTCTTGACTTTATTTGCCAGACACACGGCACTGAACACACAGAGGTGCACACAGAACACACATGCAGAGGTGAACACAGAACACACATGCAGAGCAGAGGTGAACACAAGACAACATTAGCACGACCAGTAATCCTACAAGCTGTCATCACTACCCTCCTGACTGTTCTCCTCACTGTCTTCCTCTCTGTCAGACATGGTAGCTGATGATGTAGGCCTACTTCTTTCTCTCTGGTTGAGTCTGCGATTAGCTGCTTGCATCCACAAGTCAACAGCTGGTTTTGGGTCGAAAGTCTCTATTGTGATCTTAGACAAGTGGATGTAATCAAATAAGTATGTGAATATAACCAATAACCTACCATAGCCAATAACAATTTAATGTAACTTATTTTATTTGTGTTGTTCATTCATATCTTATTTTACCTTAACATTTATTTATTTATGCTTTTTTTTTTATCTCTCCAGTTTTAAAGGATATTTTTGGTTACTGTCCTATAGTATACATTGGAATGATTTAAAACCTGTTTATCCCAATAATTATAAAGGAGTGCCTTGGAAATATGTGTTTACATAAATTGTGACCAAACCGTTTGAACTTAGACTAAGAGTCCTTTACCTCACTGAGCTGTAGTTAACTTATCCAGTCTGACTGGAGAGGACTCTCCCTCCACATTATTGTAGAAACATCTTCTTCTTATATCCGTTAGAGCAGCTAGCACGGCACCAGATTCTAATAACAACAGCGCTGGTACCGGTGCACCCTCCCTCTCACTCGCATTTTGTCTGTGAGCTGCGGGCTCAACATCCCCCATTTTCATCACTTACAGCGCCCATCGTACAGGGCAAATGAAAGGTGTAACCGGGGTGAAAAGGGTGTTACATTTACTTAATTATGAATATTGTTACATCAAGGCCGAAAATTAGGATGAGCCCCAACGGTCAAAATGTTTTTTTCCCTCCCAGAACTGCCAGCGCAGCACCTCCCCAGATCTGGCGCCCTAGGCGAACATCTATTACGCCAGTGCTACGGGCCGGCCCTGAGTTCATATCATGGTTCATATGCAACTCGCAAATATCTTTTTCTCTTCTCTCATCTCTCCTCTCTCCTCTATTTTCTCTTTTCTCTTCTCTCTCTCCCTCTCTCCCTCTCTCAATGTTGGTATGCAAATGCGCGTTGTTTCAAATGACCCGGTGCTCTTTTTTTGGCGGAGGTGCGCATGCGCACCTGCGCACCAGTTATGTGCAGCCCTGATTATAAGGTCACGTGCCGCTTTACAGGAGCATGTTGCTCATAAACTACATGTCCCACAATGCATCTCATTTTGTGAGATGCGAACTGCAATTACTTACTCGACTTCTGCTTTCAGGCATAGTTAATTATTAAGTTATTACCCTATCCGGTAATAATCCAATGCAGAGGAAATATTGTAAAATAATACATTATTTTATATATATATTATTTATATTTATCTATGTATATTTATATAGTCTTAAAGTTACCACCGGCCCTTTGAATGCAACCATAATTCTAATGTGGCCCGCGATGAAATTGAGTTTGACACCCCTGATCTCGAGAATTCGAACGGCACTTATCATGGCTGCCACTGAGGGACTTCCGGGTCATTTCACTCCGTTAGGAAGGTTCCTAAGCTAAATGGACTATTCGACTTCAGCTCATGTCTCCTTAACTCACTCCTTCATCTCGCTTGATCATTTATCTAAGCGACTACTGCATCTCAGTTTCCCTGCGTCAACATGAGCGCTTCCAGCCACATAAAGCTTTGTTCGATCTGCAGACCTGTTAATTGCAGAGGCTTAAGTCTCAATAAATCTATACCCATAAGCGTGCCCATTAATGTACAATAAAAAGTAATCCCCAGTAGGCCAAACCAAAGCAACACTAATGTTATGGATCATTACAGAGCAGGGATGTGTGTGTGCACAGTATGTGTTGTATTCTAGGCAGGGGCGGATCTAGACAAATATTCATGGGGTGGCAAGAGGGTGGCAGGAGATTTTGAGGGGTGGCATCCCCTGACAGAAGTATATGCTGATTTAAATCGCAATCATATCAATCAATTGGGGTGTAACGGTACACGTACCCGTACTGAAATTATTCGGTACGGGCCCTTCGGTTCGGTACACGTGTGTACCGAACGAATATAGCGTTAAACGTAAAAAATTGAGAACATGAACAACTTTCTGAAAGTAATCTATATCATAGAGCGACCAAGTCATTTCATTAGACGAGAGGCATACTATGAGAGCTGGTCACAGGGATGCGTTCAAATGTAGTCAGTAATTTGAGGAACTGTCTAAATGGCGAACGCAGATAAAGTTGAGCTCGAAAATCCTCCAGCATCATTGAAGTCTCCGGTTTGGGAACATTTGGATTTCGCAGTTACGTACAAGGATGACGGACAAAGACAGGTGGACCGAACCAAAGCTGTTTGTCGGCATTGTTCAACTAACATTGGTTACGCGGCTGGCAATACATCACACTCATTTGAAAAGGCATCACCCGAACGTGAATATCACCGGTACCAAAAGAAAAAAGACTGAAGTGCAAACCCAACTCCCACTAGCATGTAAGCCTCCACCACTCGTAAAAAGTTCAGACCGAGCCAAAGCTATTACAAACGCCAAATATCCTTATGTTGCCATGTTAGCAAAGCGCTACCTGGCTGTATCTGCTACCTCTGTCCCTAGAGAGGGTGTTCTCCACAGCAGGAGACATTGTTAGTGCCAGCAGATCTGCCCTTTCAGCAAGCAATGTGGACAAGTTCATCTTTCTTTAAAACAACATGAAAATACAATGACAAGCAAGTCCTAATGTCAAGCTGGCTGCTTAGGTGCAGTACAGTTCAAATACAGATTATTTCAGTTCATCGAAAAGCTGCACCTTAATGTTTATTTTACTATATTTTGTATTTATTTGAATACATTAGTCACAGTTTAATAATAATTTGAAAAAAATATTTAATGTTTTGTGATAATTTTTTCTGCTGTACCGAACCGAGACCTAGACCTAA